ACTACCATGAGAAAGCTGTGTCCGTTGAGTATTCAGAACTATTTCAGTTATACAATCAAGACGCACTCGACAAATTTATCGTTAGTTGCTATTGTCTGTAAGTGATTTCTTTCTGTAATTTAAGTCCCAAACTAGCTGTAGTGATCATTTTGATCAATCATTACCTGTAATTATCCTCACTATATTCTTTTCTGTAGTATTATGCAGGATGAAGATTTATGAAATGAAAAAAGGTGGACGCTATGGCATTGGGTTCATTGACCCAAATACCATTAATGAATACACATGGAAATTAGATCCATATTATGAAAAAAGTGTAGAGGAAAGCATGCTAGAGTTCTTCAAGTGCCTCAATACTAATGAAGATATACTACTTCCTTACAACTTCGAGTGAGTCACACTGTCTTGTACTACAAATTTTGTTTTTGCCTACTAGCTAGCTACATGTTTTTGCTTACATATGCCCGCTTAATTAAGACATGCAAACGTGTGTGCATGCAGATTTCACTGGATCTTGTTAATCATTAAAGTTGATGAAGGAATAGTTGAAATACTGGACTCACTACTTAAAAAAGCAAGTGACTACACCATCGTGAAGGGGATAGTCAACAGGTAATTTCGATCATTATTAACTATATCTCGGCCTATTTAATTAGTTCGTCATTTCCTGATAACAACTATTTAATAACCCATTTATTCATTTTTTTTGTTGGCGGGCAGGGCTTGGCAAAGTTCATCAGCGTCACTCCAGGCCAATGGAAACGAAATCTAAAATGGTATCGACCCAAGGTAAGTAATTAAGTAGTACTAGCTAGCTGCCAGCTCTTTAATTATCATGCTTGATTAATTATTATCTGATCAAATTCCATTCTCGTAAAGACCCTGAAGCAGGCACCGGGGAATAATCTGTGTGCATACTACGTTTGCGAGAACATTCGCATGATGGCGTCCGAAAGGAGCAGATCTCAAAGACAGGAGTGGGTACGTTTGTCAGAACACTATTTACAATTTTTACACCATTATCGATATCTAGTCACACAACTAATACACATGCATATTGATCTCCTTCTTAACAGTTCAAAGTGGTGTGGGAGCAGCTCCTAGCAGATGACCGCATAGAAGCAATTCAAGAGGAAATAGCGGGATTTTTGCTCGACCATGTCATAGATCCTAAAGGAGAATACTTTTACCCGCTACTGCCCCATGAACCACTTCCAATTGTCATCGTGCTCCGAAGGCACCAATTAGGCTAATGCCACTGGCTCCGAAGGCATCAATTAGGAGAAATTGTATATAGCTACCTAATTGTATACATATATACATGTGTGTGTATATATGTGTGAATTAATGGTGGTTGTGAGACATTCGATGATATATATACATGTGTGTATATATATGATCGGTTCTACTAGAAATTCTATTTATATATATATGCATAACATGTACAATATGTAGCATCGTAAAATACCAGCAAACGAAAAAGAATTAAATGGAAAACACAAAATTAAATAAAAAAGAAATCATAAACCCAACCCCCCCCCCCCAACCTTTTAATATCGGTTGGTGTCACCAACCGGTACTAAAGGGCTCCCTGCCTCCGGAGCTGGCTCGTGCCACGTGGTTGCCCTTTAGCACCGGCTCGTGCTGAACCGGTACTAAAGGGGGGGACCTTTAGTGCCCACACTTTAGTGCCAGTTACCAAATCGGGACTAAAGGGCCTTACGAACCGGTGCTATTGCCCAGTTCTGCACTAGTGATGGCAGGTGTGAATACTCTGAAACATAGCTATATTTGGCAACTAGGATGGTGGTTACTCCAAAGGGGTTGATTGATCATGTTTCGAATAATTGGGATGAAGATCTAGTTAGGCAAACTCTAGGGCCCATTGATGTACAACAGGTGCTCGCAAGCCCAATCTCACAACATAATATGACAGACTTTGTTGGTTGGAGCTACACAAAGAACTGTATATTTTTGGTTCGGTCTGCATTTTTTTTTAATGGGACTATCAGCATGGAAGTAAGACGAGACACACCAACGGGATGGGACGAACAACAATTAATCCTATTTGGAGCACGATGTGGAAATTATCTTGCCCAATAAAGGTTAAAAACAATATCTGGCATACGCTACATGGCAGTCTTCCATGTCGTGTTACTCTACAAACTTTGAAAATCTCACCCATATGTCCTTGCTCTACTAGTCCAGAACATACGAAGCACATGCTATATATTTCTCCGCAACGAAGCTAGGAGGTTTGGACAAGGTTGGGGTTGGAAGATATCATTGAAAGAGCATGTAAAGTCGACCGTGCTGGTGAGGCGGTGTTGGAGTATTTACTTCTTTGGAGTATTTACTTCTTCTACCAGAACATGAATTGTATATTATCGGTTATCCGAATGTGCATGAAACAATTGTGTCTCGGCCTGATATTTGTGGTGGGAAAGGCGGAAAATGATGCACAAAGAGACAACCCAGAATGCGACCTAGATTTCTACGGGGATTCTAGCCCTTAATGCCCACTTTGTTAATGTCTCCTCTCCAAAGGTTTCTATGAAAAGAGGGGGCTGGTCGTGCCCTCCAGTGGTTTTTGTTAAATTTAATGTTGATGCTTCTTTTCAGCATGACATGCTTAGGGGAATGATGGCGGCGGTACTAAGAGATGACAAATGTAGATTTATCGGCGAGGGGAATGGGAAGATAGACTATTCGCGGATGTCCTGGCGGCTGAAGCTTTGGCTCTCAAGTTTGGTCTATCACTTGTGCAAAGGACGGAATGCAACCGTCTTATTATTAATTCGGACAATCTGGATGTGATTGATACCATGAAGGAAGGAGGACGGTCGGCGGGAGCTGCAACGGCAATTTTTTATGATTATTTTCATTTTGCTTGTGTTCCTTATTACTATATTCAAGCACTGTAATAGAGACGTAAATAAAGTTGCTCATGAGCTTGCTAAATTAGCTAGATTTTCTTTGATTTCTAATTAGTTTGAGGAACACTTAATTGAAATTGTAGGGATCATGGTAAACGATGTATTGCTTATTTCCAATGAATAAAGTTGGGTATTTTTTTCAATAAAAATAACTCCTTGCTTTTGTGGTACAAGTGGCAAATAGAGTTATATGGCCACAATCGGTTGACCACAAGGATTTGGCCATGATATTTTTGCAGTGTAGCACCAACCACACAAAGAGTATCCGTTCAGGCACATCCATATAACTTTCCAGCATCTTGATAGGATGAAGATTTGATGTTGGCAAATGAATTGCCTTGTATACGCTGAGCTTGTCAAATATTCATCAACAATCGTCCTATTCCAACATATGGAGTTAGCACAAGAGTGATCAAGGCAAGCTGAGTTTTCAAGTAGGCTCGAGAGGTTGAAAAATTCTTGTCGTTGGACTAGGGTAGTCATGCGAGCAATAATAGTGATCCATTTATCACCCTCAAGTTCCTGCATCGCTATTTTGTCTTTCTCTAGATGCAAGTCTAAATAGCTCTTGCACGCCGTTATAGACTATGGAATCCTCAATCCACTTGTCCCTCCAGAGGCTAGCCCAACTACCATCCCCAATAGTGATGGTTATTGAGGTTCTTAGGCTGAGCCGTTGCTTCTGATGTTGTTGAGAACAAAGAAAATGCTAATTGGACACATCACTTCTATTGAAAAAAGAAGAAGTTTTATTTAATTTATTGCTTAGGTCGCGAGCTGCATTTATTAGTGAAAATAAAAAAAGCAAACACTAGGACCTGCACATAAAAGATGAGTATAACATACTAATCAAGTAACAAATTGGTTGTTGGTAGTTGCTAGAAATGCACTATTTATTAGAGTCTAAAATTTCGAGTACATGTCCTTCTCTCTTAGTGCGATACGGAATAAAGGATACCCGCTCCTCAAGATACGTCACTAAACGATTATCCAATAAGAACTTCACAGCGGTGATGTGGTTCCTTTACAAGCCTAGAAGTGCATACTAACTTGCTCAATGAGGTAGACAAATAAAAAATTACTACTATTAAGCTATTGCTTCTTATAGTTGTAGGCACCCTTACAAGCACCAATGAATGGGCGGCATTTGTGTAAAAAGAACCTCGCTGCATGCGAACACCATCATTATTTGCATCACCCAAGGTGATAAAATTTTATTATGTAGTGCGTTTTTGGACAATCGTCACTTCGCAACTTGACACTTGTTGTCGAACAGCCTTATGCCGCAGAAATCGCTTTCCCGGGCAAGAAATATATAACAACCGCGCGTGATGTACGATGCGGAAGTCTTTCAGCACGACGAATACTGACATCCAAATATGAAAAGGGGAAGGAATTGTTCAAGAAGTGGTCCCTACAAACTTTATAGTGCAGTGCAAATTCACCCTAACTTACGATGCCCTTTTGAGCTCTTCGATCCAACCATCTTCTTATGCCGTTGGGTGCACATGAATTTAATACAACCCACCATAGAGCAATGGGATAGAAAAACCCTCTGGCTACACCTGAGAGCAATCAAAAGACCCAATAGCTCAGATCGATTGCGTTGCTTTCTTTACCCAGAATATGCAGCCAGTTGGAGCCTATGGGCCATGCTTTCTAGTTTCTCATCTTCTTTCCACAAAACTTCTGCCAAATAGTGAGACGCGCGTCAGGACCAGGTGTGCTAATCATTCTGCGTTTCAATTGGTACTAAATATTTATTAACAATTCGAGATTATTCTGACAGCAACCAAATTTCCTCAATTTTTTTGTAAACAAAATCATTCTAAGCATGACATGCATGCTAAAATCGATTAATATAAGTTGAAATATTCTCAGGTACAGCAGGTACATATCGATTGCATTAGTACATAGAAGTAACAATAGCACAATGTTGGTGCAATTTTTGTAGGAACGGAACATAGCACTGCATAAGCAAGAGCTAGATCGAAGACCGCAAACACAAGAAGATCGAAACAACTTCAGTCAGATGAGCAATCAATCGATCGGGATGGTATATCGTTAATCCCTGCCATGCTTCTCGTTGCCCCTGGAGTTGGACAGCTCGCCCCAGACATCGATCTGGATCATGCCGTCGCCTGGCGGCGGCGGAGCCGGTGACCTGCTGTGGTTGTTGAGCGCCGCCGCGAGCTCCTCGCCCTCGCGGTACCTCTGCAGGTACCTGCGCATGGCACCGGCGTAGTTGTCGAGGCCAAGGGTGGTCATGGCGTGGCAGATGTCGTCGCCGTTCACCGTCTTACGCCGCTCCCTCCGGCACCGCTCCGAGGCCTCGCCGGTGACGAAGCCGATGAACTCCGTGGCGCACTCCTGGATCACCTCCTTTGCGTGCTTCGAGACCTTGGCCTCCGGCGGCAGCACGTCCTTCATGATCCGCCCCACGTTGGCGATCGGCAGGAGGCCTTCTTGCCCATTGGGATCTCCCGAGGAAGAGCCTGAGGTTGATGGCGCCCTAGGAAGGCTTAGGCGCCCCGGTTGTTGGGTAAAACCAGAGAAGTGGATGAAATCCTCTCTATTCGTCATATTTAGTGTGGATAAGGTATGTACGTGATCTTCGTCACAACGAGATATATAGTTCGGGCACGCCGAAAGTAGTCTTCGCAGTGGTACTGATATTGCGAGTGCTGAAGAGCCGCGGCTCTTTTTATACACTGAGAGTTGTGGCTTTTTGCCTTGCTTACCCAACTTTTATCCCGTTCTGTTCAAAAAGTGTGGAATGTATGTCGTGACCCAGTTGTCCACCACTCCACGCGGGTAAATGATTCGTCTTTATTATTTTAAAAATTACGCCTGTTACATTTATTCGCCCACGAGATTAAAAATATCCAACTAGCTTGTGGAATAAAAAAGAAAGGCTTATCCTGAACATTTTTAACTACAAGTGTTGAGTACCTGCGTATATCATTTGAGCAAAATGTCCACTCAAAGATGATTTGTATGCAAATTTTTAACAATGATGCATCGTATGAAAAAATAATCCAACAAGCTTGTTGAATAGTAAGTAAAGGTTTTTACAACATTTTGAACTACAAGTGTAGAGTATTTGTATATATCGTTTGAGCAAAATGGTCATCAAAATATTGTTGACAAGCAAATTTCAGTGATGGTGCATCATTTCAAAAATATGCAACTAGCTAGCTTATTTAAGTACAAAAATGGTTCGTTTAGAACCTTTTGATGTACAAATGCAGAGTACTTGGGCATGTCTTTTGAGCAAACTGGCAACCGAAAGATTGTCAACCAGCGAAATTTTTGATAAAATGGTGTATGATGTAAAAAAAATATCCTACTAGTCGTTGCATAACAAAAGGGCTTGCTTGGAACATTTTGAAGTACAAGCGCAGAGTACTTGTGTATATCAAGTTTGAGCGAAATGGGACCAACAAAAGATTGTCGCTAAGCAAATTTTCAGTGATCTTGCATCATATCAAACATATTAACTACCATGTTGATGGTTGATTGCATCGCTTGATGCAGAGGCCGGGATTATCCTTATTTTTGAAATAAAAGTTAACTACCATGTTAGGTAAAGAAAAAAGGTTTGTGTGTAGAGCATTTTGAACTACGTGCATGGGGTAGGCACCGACTGGTAATACCCACAAGCACACGATCCATATACATAGTCCGGAATGCAGTTTGTACATGCGTACGATATATGCCTGTATACCATGCCATTGTGAGCGTGCTCGATCGACGTCTACACACACTATCTTACACCATCCCTACGCTAGCCAGCGCTGAGTACGCGGCAGCCTCTTTTCGTGCGTGCGAGGGTACGCGCGTACGAAAGTCGATGCCAGGAGCATGTGGTGGTAGCTGGATCGATATATGCACAGCTCCGTCAGGCCAATCAGGCGGCGTGCTTTTGGGTAGCCCCCGGGGTGGGGGTGGTGGATGGGGGCGCGACACCTGCCGACAAGCCTCGCATGGCGAGCGATCATGGCTTCCAGCGCCGCGGCACGTGCCCTCCTGGATCCTCCCGGACCAGTGTCGAGACCGGAGCTACCTAGCTGACCTCCATCTCTCACGCTCGCAGAGTCTAGTTGGGTTTGCAAAGGACCTCGAGTGCATTAGAAATATCAGGTAACGGTACAAATGCACCTTACCCAAGGGCCCTCTGAGAATAGAAAATCACAGACCAGTCCTTGCATCTTACAAAAAGGACCCAGAACATAAAAGAAAAATGCAATCCGGTAATTTGAAATAGTATGAGCCGGAGACCAAAACCAGTGTCGCCGGGGACAAACCACTTGGGGGCGGTGGTTTCGCCACGCCATCTCCACGGAAGAAGCGGCAGAGGAAGCTTGGCTAGTAGCAGACTGCAACCCATCAGCTAGAGTTGCTCTAAGGGCCTCTTTTGATTCCCGGCATTTTAAAAACGCAATAATAGAACAATACATGAGTAGATAGGATTGCGAAAACATAGAAATTTTCAGAATTGTGTTTGATTCACAAGAATAGGAAAAACCACGGGAATCCTAAAAGACATGGTAAAATTAAGACTAAATCATATGCAAAGATAAGATGGAGTTGATATTATGCTACTTAGAGTATCTCCAGCAGCTCCCCTATTCCAAAAAAATATGGTATAGTGAAAGTTGGCACAAAAATGTGCTCCAGCTGCTTCCCTATTCCCAAAACTTTTTTGGTGTTCACCCAAAACACACACCTTCTTCCCCTATGTAGAGGGGAAGACCTATAATCTTTTTTCCAATGCATGCCACGTTAGCACGCCGCTACCAATGACGCTAGTGCATTGTCGATACTCACCGAACCACTGTCCGACCATCGCCGGACCACCATGCCACCACCACCACCACTGCCCTCACGCCTCCGCCGTCGATGTCGCCTACTAGACCTCCACCCACCCGCCCGATGCCACGCCTCGCCACCATGCCG